GCACTCTCACTCGCACTCACACACACACACACACGCACTCTCACACACACACACACACTCACACTCACACACACCCTCACTCACACACACACACTCACACACACCCTCACTCTCACACACACACACACACGTGCTATGTTGATGGTGTTTGTGTAGGGAGTGTTTGCTCTGCTGTCACTGATCCATCATAAAGAACATCAGCTGACTGTAATTCCACAGCATCACCTCGTCTGTGACAGTCAATCATCTGTTACTGTATTAAATGATGCATTTTCACTATAAAACAGGTGTGTTGGGTTATTGAGGCGCAGTGTGTTTTTAACAGCCTTTGATCTTTTAAATTGCCGTGACCTAGATGTTTGTCTGACTGAAAGCTGTAATCTGATATGAATGAGTGAGTCGCTGTGGTGTTTGTTTCACTGAGAAACCGTACAGGCCGTGGCTGTTGCTCCTATGCGAGTCTGTGGTTTGATCGTGTCTTTATTTCACCTGCGTGTCTGTACTCGGCTGCTCATTCTCTGTGTTCAGGCCAAATACAGCAGACGGGTTTTGTACGTGACCGTCTCGCTCCTGCATTTACATGCATTCATTCGGCTTTACAACTGATAGCTTTAAATACATTTACATTTACAATTACATTTGCAACAGTTGTGTTACGAATGTGCTTTTCCATTAAACAAATGTGAGGTCCAGGACAGTGGAAAGAGAAGAGAAACAAGACACATTTAAAAAAAAAAATTCGAATAAAACTGCAGTCTTTAAAGTGTTTTATTTTGATTGATTTTTTTTAAATTATTTACTTACAATAAAAATTAAAAATAAATTATTTTAAAATACATATGATCAAAATAAAACATTAATTAACAATTTATTAAATAATGAAAATGTAAAATATTTTTATTTAAATTCTACTAAATGTCTTATTTTGATGTTTTTATATTACTTTTTTATTATTATTACATTTTACATAGTATTTACTTTGTTTTCATTTTAAAATGGCTTATTTTTTTATTTGACAAATTTATTATTGTATTTGTCATAATAACATTTTGTTTTTATTAAAGAATTTACTTTTTAAATTTTTTATCACTATTAATTGTTTGTAAGTGTTATTTTGTTTGTATTTTTAAAATGTATTTAAATTTTTCAATTTTTATTATTCGATCAATTTGTAATGTTTTATTTTTTCATCACATTTTTATGATTTAAAATTTTAAATGTATTAAATTTTAATTATATAAAAATAAATAATCTGAATTTTATTTTAAATGTTTTTATTTTATAGAAAATGATTGTAATCCTAATTTTTTATTATTTAATTAAATTTTACTTTTAAAATACATTTTAATTAAATTGTTTTTTACTTTTATTTTTAAATCATGTATTTATTATAATTTTTATGATTGTCTATTTTTAATAAGTGTTTTTTAATTTACTCTTTTAAAAAAATATATTTTATACATTTTTAGTAATTTTTTCTTTTAAACTAATGTGATTTCATTGTTTTTAGAAGGCAGTTTCATCCTTGAAATACTGCAAAAGAGGTGAACACAATAGCAAAAGATGTCGATCTAGTGCATGTTTACACAGAAAATAAAAACAATGGAAAAACATGTTCTGTGTGCATCACTGTTGCTGATCTTTATGGTTAGTTTTTTTTTTTAGTTTAGTTTAGAGCTTTATTAATCCCCTTGGGGCAATTAATTCAGACTTTAGTGGTGCTTCACATATACAACACTTAACACACACATACATATATTTAAAACACACCAAATACATAAAAAGGGGGAAACAAATTTTAATAAAAAAAAAAAAAAAATCATTAATTAAATAAATCATCTAAATCAACTAGATTTATTACATAAACGTATTGCTTCAGGCACAAAAGTAAATTTGTACCGGTTTGTGGAACATCTAATTGACCGTAAACGTCGCCCAAGGGGCATCCACTCAAAATAATAATTCAAAGGGTGTGTGCAGTCTCCTATAATTTTATGTGCCATCCTCATCACTTGCTGTTCATAATAAAACGTAAGACTTCGCAAGGGAACACCTAAAATTTTTGAGCACATATTAACAATACCTTGCAAACGATTTTTGTTCTTTGTAGACAATAAGGAAAACCAACAAATAAAGGAAAAGGACAATATACTTTCAACAAATGAATTATAAAAAGTCCTGAGAATGACTCTCTGTACATTAAAGGAATTTAGCTTCCTCAGCACAAACAATCTTTGATTTGACTTTTTAATGATTGCATCTGTGTTTTGATCAAACTTCAGCCTATTATCAATAATCGTTCCTAAATACTTGTATTCTTCCACTACATGAACCTGTGTGTCATTAATGACCACCCTTTGAGGTGCAAGTGTTTTCCTACTAAAATTGATGATCATCTCTTTCGTTTTTGACACATTCAATAACAAAACCTTGCAAACGATTTTTGTTCTTTGTAGACAATAAGGAAAACCAACAAATAAAGGAAAAGGACAGGATACTTTCAACAAATGAATTATAAAAAGTCCTGAGAATGACTCTTTGTGCATTAAAAGAATTCAGCTTCCTCAGCACAAACAATCTTTGATTTGACTTTTTAATGATTGCATCTGTGTTTTGATCAAACTTCAGCCTATTATCAATAATCGTTCCTAAATACTTGTATTCTTCCACTACATGAACCTGTGTGTGATTAATGACCACCCTTTGAGGTGCAAGTGTTTTCCTACTAAAACTAATGATCATCTTTCGTTTTTGACACATTCAAATCTAATTTCATCCTATTACACCATAAAATAAAATCATCCAAAACCGGACCATATTCCTGATCTGGATATGACAGCAAAGACAGAAGCACAGTATCGTCTGCAAATTTTACCAAATAACTATTATTGTGCAAACTCTGACAATCATTTGTATATAAAATGAAAAGAACCGGAGAAAGTACACAGCCTTGCGGTGAACCTATAGAAATATTTAACGCAATAGGAACGTACACAGAAAACAACATGATTATATTATGATCAGATGAACCAAGAGGTGGTAGTGACAGAGATCTATAAGCTCCTAAGTTAGTTAGTGATCAGAATAAACCACTAAAACTAAGCAAGTCATGATGATCAGCTAAAGGTTTTAGATTAGTGAGTTCAGTTTCACGCAGATGGTTTAATGTTTGTAATATGAATGTTTTTAGGATCAGTGCTGTAGTTGTCATGTTGACTGTGTGTGTGTGTAGCACTGTGTTTTCTGTCATGTGTGCGTATGAAGCTCTTTTGTTAGTCACTGCAACCTCATTTCATTTGCAAATGAGCTTAAACACAGTCAGACCTGTCATGTTCATGAGCTTAAGTATCTTATTTGTGCATGTGAATGACTAACCCTGTGTGTGTGTGGCCCTATTCAACACCGTCAGCTTCACGAGTGACAGTAAAACTGTCAGGAAATGAGTTTTTGTTCAGGTCTCACACTACAGTTTTGTTTTCCTCATAAATATTCAGTTTGACACACTTCGGTCAAATTGCAGAAGAATGTGGGAAAAGGTGATGAAGTTTACTGGGAGAGAATGAGAGGAGGATCAGTGACCTGAAACAGATTCAGGGCAGAAATGCTTTATGTTCAGATCCTGTTAACCGAATACAGCCTGACATGCTGTGTGTGAGTGTGTGTGTTTGAGAGTGTGTGTGTGTTTGAGAGTGTGTGTGTGTGTATTAGGGGTTGAACGACTTCTGATTTTTTGAAGTCGACTTTTATGTGATGAAAGTCGAGTCGAAGTCGACTAGTCGCTGATGACGTCATTAATGAACAAATAAGTCTGGAGCTGTGA